GTAAAAGGGAAGGTGTTAACAGATTTGAAAGCAGGAATATGAGAATTTATTCGTTCATGCAGTGGATTTCATATTTGATTTTAAACGCGTTATGCTGATGTAAACTTTGGGATATGCTGACTGTTCATTTGATTTGTGCGTATATGTGCAAAATGCGCTAGTTGTAAACAAATTTTACCTTAAACAGAGTTAAATACTTCACAGAAAATATGTACATGTATATGTGTAATATTTACACATCTTGCCATTTAGACCTCTGACTCACGTGTCATCGGCAGGACCAGATGTCTCCATACCCATAGTCTGTTTTGGCGACAGTTCGTGACTACGATCAAGTTCCATTTGGCTGAGGTCAACGACAGCATATGCAAGTCACAAATTGCTGTACTATGTCGTTGTATCGTGCTTTATACCGTAACTTTTGTTACAAAGGCCACCATCGAACACGTTCGAATCCTAGACAAAGAGTTTCGTTCGATCAATCTGCCATATTTTCTTCCAGCCAAACAGGCCGCGCTGGCTGATGAATGTACCCCCTCTGTTTCGAGTGACACCTGAGGGAAACAAGGGCAGGGTAGTGACCTCTGGAAGCCAAAATGGAATCAGTACAACCAGCAGAACAGGAGTTGCTGTTATCTGACTAGAAAGGAGCGTGATTTTTTTTGAAAAAGCAGAGCTACTAACCGTAAGTAGCAGAAACCATTTCTATGAAGCATGAAGCGTGGCAGTGCCATGCGATTCGACCTTGAAAACGGCCGGAAGTTTTGCTTCTCAGATTCGACCCGCCATGTCCTCACATGCAAAGATGCGATGCGATTCAGCCTCCGCTTATCTGACGGCGATACTGGATGAAGGGTTTGCATGCTAAGATCAGATTGGTACAGTGTGATCGGTGTCATTATGAATATTTTCTGAGGAAGTTGTTGCAAAATCCTCCCTCCTGCTGGAGAACCTCAACGGGCACGTTGGAAACGATTGCCAAAAGCAGAAGAGCGGTACTCAAACGAACTCAAAAACTTCTGCCGCGTAAGTGAAGTGTTCATAATAATGTAGAAGATTTCCACTTTCTTTCAACATCATGACGATCACGTGCATGCATCGTGTCGTGACATTTTTGTACAGATGTCACTGAACGACCGGATCACGATTTCATCTGATCTATTTCCCACAGTGCTAGGTGCTCAGACGGACCGAGGGCGAAATTGTCGACAGGTCATTACCCGTTGCCTGCTAACTGTGCCACTCAAAATTCATAATTGCCTACAACACCGCTGGACCAATAATTCCTTTATGAATATGGTTGGAAGCCCTGAACGATGGAAGGATTAAGACGTGCCGTGTAAGCGAGGTTAATTAAAAAGTGTACTAAGCAGAACCAATGGCACAGAGT